CCCAGCCTTCAGAACCCTCCCCTTTCTGGGTCGAGCTGCCAACCCCCCTGATCTTCTAGACAGTAATCCCAGTCCATTCCTTCGAATTCTGGCCGCCCATTCGCTACAGAATTCCCTGCCCCATACCCTGCAAGCTGGAAATGCCTCTTTGCTTCAGATGCACACTTATTCGGGTTTCCCTCCCTGTCTCATTGGGTGCTCAAACCCTGCAATTTAATCGCAGGTTTTGATCTTTGGGGCTCTTTCCGTTGTCTGACTACACTGCAGGGTTATTTCGCGGTCAGCCCTCATTCTGGACCAGCAACAATCTCCTCCTCTGTGGCCTGCGGACTAGAGCCAGGTTTTTTGCTTCAGTTCCAGTGCTTATTTGCTTTTCCCTCCCAGTCCTATTGGGCGCTCATTTCCTGCAATTAAATTGCACCCAGTGCGAGAATTGCACATATCATGTGCTGCGCATATCCTGTGTTTTTCCTGGGTGCATATCATGCATAATTCAACTGCATATCGTGCATTTTTGATGGTACATAGCCTGCACATGCACATATTGTGTACTGGGCATAGCCTGCACATTTTCCGGCGTGCATATCGTCCATATTTTACTTACACACAAGTTGTGCTGCTTTCTTTGGGTGAGCTGGCGTTGTTCTAGCTGGGCAGCACATTTTGGGGTCATCTGCACCCTGCCGGCTTTGCGCCCTGGGCTCAGTTTCCACACCCAATCACACTACTGTTGTGCAACACAGTATTTTGTTTGATAGAATGTCTGGCCAGCAATGGCTCAACTGAATAAGAGATGCACAATAGCGGTATCAGCGTGCCGGATGCATATCCCAATTTGCGCACATGAATTGACACATAGGCATGTGAATTGATGCAATGTCGGTATCCCAAACTGTGCACTTAGAGGGATGAACAAGTCACGGCAAATACCACAGAGGCAAGGAAATGATGCAAGTGATCGCGCCCTAGGATCCTGCTGCCCATGGTATAGAATCACTCATCATGTGTCACTATCATCATCAACCTTCCTGCCAATGCTGCTACTGTGTGTGGGGACAGTATGGCATGGTAGGGTGTGCACAGCCACCACCCATGGCCTTCACTATATGTTAGTATGGCATTTCCATGGCTAGCACCTTGTCTTATTATCCTAAATCTTGGTGCTATGGCTTGGATCAAGTGTGTGACATTGGTTTGGCATCATTTCAGGCCCTCCTTGTTCAGCAAGAACTCAGAGAGCCACTTCACTTGAATGGGGATATAGTGCTCTAGGTTTATGACAAAAGTATACTTTTCAACTCCCATGATGCAGCCAGAGAGATCTCCAAAATCATGTTCTTAAGGTGCACCAGCTGTTGCAACATGATCAAACCTTTGCACCAATTCCAGACTCACCATTCCATCTTTGACAGAAGTCTTTGTCCTGCAACTGTTGAACGCACATCATCAGTGCTGTTGCCATCAACCATGACAATCCCACTGCAGAGTCCTTGTGTTGATTGCAAGGAGAAGCAACAACCCAGAAAACATGCAAATTGGACATGAGAAATGACCAAACCTGTAGGAGTGGGACTGACCCAGGTCCCACTGGAGCTTGTTGAAGGCATTGTATCAACTAGTGATGATTGTCATCTGTGGGTGGTGGACTGGCTGGAATGAGCAGAACAGATGGACAGCCTTCACCTGAGGTTGATTTTACAATACACAGGGTAGATTATATTTATTTCTGCTCTATGGGCACTCAATTTGGGTCAGATGTCTCTCAATTTGAGTGAAAGATTGAAGATTTTCCCTTGAAGAAACTTTGCAATTATTGGGCATTTGTATATGGCTCCCTTCTTGAAGTATATTGGTGGTATAAGCATGAAAACTAACTAATATGCTGTAGACTACCTCCTTTATATAGACTAAGTCTCAGTGTTGTTTAGAAGCTGGTGGAACAAACAGGAGGGCGGTAGTAATACCAATTATCAATGATGACTTGGTAATTACTTATGACTACTTATGATTTGTACATTTGTTGGTAGCAATCGTCAAGAAAATTAAATCTATGGTATTCAATTTCTGTAGATGTTCCCAGACGTGTTACTCAATGGACATGAGATAGAAGAAGGAGCTCAAAGAAGCTTCAAAAGGATTGAGCTGTGTAGTGTACATATCCAATCTGGCATTAATTTAGACATCGGAAAAGTTATTCATTCCCCTTCTATGCATGTAAGTGCTACTTTCTGCTCATAATCATGTCATTGTATCTGCGCCTCACAGCTGAAGGTGTTTCTGACATATCTTGTCTGACATCACAGATCATAACCAGATCACAAGCCTCTGATTGCGGTAGATTGTTACATGTAATCATAGGCTGGACATCTGGGTGGGGGGCTTGTCCAGGCATTGGTCAGTGTTGTTTCAGCAAACTCTGAGGCAAAGAGGGGCATATTTACGTATTATGGATGTGATTGGACTATACCTAGTGGGACCTGGCACCTATATAGGACCGGAACCAAGTCCTACTCACTTCATTCTGTTGGTTCCTAGACCTGATGGGTCTACAATGGGGGATCAACGTCCAAGGCAAGTCCAACAAGAGCTGAGGTGCCTAGACCATCAGGGACTTGGTTGCTTGTCCCCCATCTGGGTTGCCGGCTGCTGAGCTGTGCCTTTTTGACTGATCCCCCATATGTAGTAACTGTTCTGGAACTGGTCAGCTCTGGGGCTACCGGTGCCTACCAGAGACGCTGCCACCAGTCTACCTTTTCGACTCCTCCATATCATTCCTTCATCCCACTGTGCTAGTTCATGAATGCAGCTGTTGAGCCATCTCAAAATCTCCATTCTTGTTGTTGTACTGGTGCCAGTGTGAAGGGACTGTGTGTGAGTGCAAGTTTTCGAAACCAGGTAACCATGTTGTTTTGACTTTTTCTGTTCCAGGTCCTCATATGTGATGGGCGCTAGACATGTTGTTTCAGCATGCAAATTTGCACCATAACCCTACCACATTCATTGAACTCACTACGCACCAACGTGAGCACTGGTCAGTGAGTCATCATGCTATGCAGTCAAGAATGGATACTAACTTTACTGTAGCTCATCTGAGGTCTCATAGCACTCTTTGAGATGGATTCCAGACATGCGTTAGGGAGAGGACCACTGCCTAGGTGCGTCTTACGTGCTAGCACTAGCCTAAGATTTTAAGCTCTTGCTGATCAAGTTGCAGTCAATGGCGCGCCAGAGGTCACAAAACTACATGTTCTTTCACCACACCTGAACTGCTCCACCTGCCACCTTGATTGGGTATCTGAACGCCAGCAACACAGTCTGAGAACAACCTCCCACCCTTGCAAACCTAATACAACAAGCGCAAGCATCACGGCGGGCACCAGTACCCTCTCTCCCTAGAAGAACACTTTAAGCGGTTGGAGCTGCATCAGAGGGAGGCAGAGTTGCACCAGCGGGAGTCAAAGAGAGAAATCCAGCAACTCTGCCAACGTAACTGCAACCTTGAGCTGCAGCTGGAATGCTCTGCAACTGTTGATCCAGAGCATCAAGTGGCATGCATACATGGGTCGGATGATGATGGGTATCCATATGCAGAATTGGTGCGCTGCAATCCAATTTTTGATTTGATTGTTGTGACCAATGTCTGTCTTGCATACCAGGAGGTCACCTCCTCCCTCTCTGAATGTGTCTCTGGCAGCCATGTTCTTGCATGCCATGGGTGTTGCCCGCTCAACAATTCCTGCTGCCACCCTCCGACCAGAATGTTCTGCCACACATGTGATGTTGTCTGCTTCTCAGCACCTCACTCCAACCATGACAAACCCCTGTGCTCTCAAAGGCTTCCAAGCCCAATTCAACTGCTCTGGTGTTGTTGGGGCTGCCACCTACTGAGCTGATGGCCAATCAAAAAGAGGTACAAGGAAAGATCATGGTATGTGATTATGGCTTGCATCCTGACTGGCTTTCCACTTGATTCTCCAGTGACATGTCGGTGCAACTTTCTGGACTCTCCGTGGCATCACATTCAAGACTCAGTGGCTGGAACCAGATTTGCCCCCTCAGACAGATCCTAGCACAGGCGAGACTCTTTTCACTCCGAACTTTCCATGGGGATTGACACATCAAAACAACACAAGGATCATCAATGCTGTTGTTAACACAATACTCAAAGAGTTTGAGGTTCAGTTCTCTTGCTTCTGCATGTATGTCACTCTGACCCTTGCTTGTCCCTAACAGGATCCTGCATGTTGTTCTGCCAAGTACAACACATGTGGGGAACTATTGACCGTGAAATATTGCAGGACTTTGCCAAGTAGTCGCTCAAAGGCTTCAAGAGGCAGTACACCACTGAAGTCAACGAAGCCGCTCAAATCAAGTGAGAGAGCAATAACACTACTGACTGTAGTACTCAGTATTGCTGAATGGTAGGTCCTAGTAGTCTCGATTCCCTGCAACACCTTCTGATTGCATTTAGAAGTGCAAACAAAGGTGTTCCACTGTGCCCACATATGCAGCCAGACACAAGCTTGATCCTGACAATGTCACTGCAACCATGGACATGGACTAGATGTCAGACAAGCTTTCCGTGCCCAACTCCTTGGATTTGTATACAGACCAACTCAACTGGGCTGTTTGCATGGCCAAGGCATCTGGAAGGAAGGACCTGACTCGAAATCTGTCAAGGGCATGCATTTCCTCGAGGTGTGCAAACCTCCTTGGCAGACAGATCAGGTGCGTTACACAACTTCTTTTCAAGGCTGATTTTGACATAGCTCAAAGGCTGCAAATATACAAGGACAAGCGCAAATATGTTTGAGTTTGTACTACAACTTGTAAAGATAACCGTGTGCCTGAAAAGGCTCTCTCCAACTGTGCTATTTGCCCCAACTGGTTGGCTGAACAGACAATGAACCCCAACACTGATAAAGGGAAGTATCTGGTCAGCACTGGATGGGGTCATGGCCTGGTCCTCCTGGATTTGATTTGGAGGCAGCCAACAGGTGTCAATTGATGTACAAAATAATTAGCCACAACAAGAAATAGTACATATCTAGCTGAAAAGATACCCATACAGTCATTCTATTGATCATTGTCCTCTGTAACTCCTGCTGTGATAGCTGAGGTGATAAACTAATAAGTGTTACTAGTATCAGAGCATGCAAGAAAACTTGACATACATGGTCCATTGTAGTAGTAATCCAATGATGAGGATCCGTATGAGTGACTTTGCATTGAGCCACCTGAGATTGAATGTCCTTGAATGGGATAATCATAGGTGGAAGATTTGCTGCTGAATCAAAGAACTTGTTAAACTTCCAAGTCTCAATACTAAGCTCAGGACTAAGCAGCCATAAAGTAAGCCATCGTTGAAATAAGAAACCTGCTGACTCACAACAAGCTCCACAAGTTGGTGTTGTCAAGTGAACTCCATTCCGATGGCACCATCCAACAGACAGTGTAACGGCAACCTCGAGGCCTGATCTCAGAGTCCTGACAAGGGAGAGTTCAAAGGGTCAGATAAAGGGATCAACTAATACAGGAGACTGGCAAACCTGACAAGGGAGAGTCCAAAGAGAAACCAAGTTGGGGACTCTCCTTGTCAGGGCCCACTATATATAGCCTAAAGAACAATGGATGACCAAGCACAATGAAAGCGCCAGAGAATGGGGTCAGGGAACAATAAGGGGCCGGACCGGGAGAACAATGGGAGCTGGGCCAGAGGGTCATGTGGATATGCTTGACATGGAAGTCCAGGCCGCAGCATGTGATGCTTGACAGATGGCACATGCACAGTCACATGCAGGATCCCACAATGATCGGACAAAAGCAGGGGTTCCCCCACCTTGGTCACCCCCCAAATCCTACCAGTTAGGTAGGTTTTTCCGGCGCCCAAAACCTACCTGAGTGGTAGCGGGCGGATGTGCGGCGGGCGTTCATTTCACAAATTGTGATCCTTGGGCGGCCCATTGTTCACGGTTCCAGGTGCCCGTGGGCGGCAGCCCGGGCAGACCCAACCCCGCCCGGGGTCCTAGCACGCGCAGCGCTAGAAATTTTTGGCCATTTTACGTCCCGTTTAGGAAGTTAAAGTCGATTTCTATTGCCTTTGTTGCACACAAAATACATTTGTTTTGTTTCCTACTTATCACCCGTGTGTACACGATGCCAATTAAATATCCATGTAGCTTTTTTGTGTTCAATCAATCATCGATGCTGAAAATCTCTGCATCAGGGGGCGGCGGCCTGCATCGCAATTCTTGCTGGGGCGGCGGCCTGCGTCGCGATTCTCACTGGGGCGGCAGCCTGCGTCGCGATTCTTGCTGCGTCCGCGCCCACTCGTCCACATCTATGACTTCGCCCAGACGTTCTGCTTTTTCAAGCTTTTCCTGTGCAATTCTTCTCTCTTCTTAATCCAATAATTTTGTCATTGAGACTACACGTTCATATGGCAAGCCTACCTTTTGCAAACGCCTTCTTCCGTTCGACTGAACGAGCTTTTTCCAGGTGTTTTAGTAATCCCATTTGTTTATTTTGAACCTGGCAAGCCTACCTCGTGCACGACGTTCTGCGAGATGGTGCTCAAATTTGTCCTCCAGCTCTCGCTCTCACTTTCCTTGCTGTCCTCCGTCTCTGGTTCCTCGTCGTCAGATCGGATGATTGCTCCGCCCCACTCATGGCGGATTCTCCGCACTCGGCGCCGAGGTTATGGGCACGGCATAAGGAGGTGCCGATTGATCCTTCGTTGGTCGGCCAGTGCGTGGGCACCCGTGAAGAGATGTGGGTGCCCGTGTCGTAAGTCTGGGCGCCCGTAGTTTGCTGCGGGTGCCCGTGATGAGGTGTGGGCGCCCTTGATCTGTTGTGGGCACCCCTAGTTTGCTGTGGGCGCCCGTGCGTCTTGTTGTGGGCGCCTGTAGTTTGCTGTGGGCGCCTGTGATGGGATCTGGGCACCCGTGTCGTAAGTGTGGGCGCCCGTCACTGGTGTCAGGGCAATCAACACAATACAGTGATACAGTATGGGGAGCATTCAGTTACATCATGGCACATAGGAAGTTAATAATGTACTCAGTGAACTGATCAAGTGAACGACATGGATTCAAGCAGACGTGTTATGACTGTGATTATTACTAAACGAGTTCTGGGAAGCCAGCATTGGGAGACGACTCAGCAACAGCAGTGCAAGGAGGCGCTAGCTCCGCTGCGTCAGTAACGTTCTCAATCCCATCACCAAACGGCAACAACCCGATGGAGTGGTCGGGCTCTATAGCAGACATCAGAATGCAGCGCGCTGCGCTTAGTCGGCATGCTCACTTGGAAGCTTCTCCACAAGGCGCTGGAACTTCTGTAGCACCTGGTGTAGTTGGTGCAACTCGACGTCGTCAACAGACTTCACCAGATCCAGGAAGGCCTTGCGAGCCTTGTCAAGTTCATGATCCTGAGCGATTTGCCAAGTGATATCCTCTGTAGGCGTGGTCCTCATGTACAGCTGAGTGTACGCCTGCGGAGCCACTGTATCAAGGTCAATTTGCCATAGGAGGCTATGCTCACTGATGGTGCAGCGCAATTCTGAGCGTGATGTTGGCAAATAGAAAGGATTGGGAAAGTCATCTTCCACCACAACCATAGGCTGCGCTATAAGTTGTGCACTGGTTAGTTATCTGGTTCTTCTTCAGCTGAAAGCAAGTACCGCTGTGCCGCAAGCAATCTGCGTTGGTCAAATCGATATCTCCATTGGCCACGCACTGACACTGGAATGAATTCAACTCTAGAATGGGAAAACAAGCGAAAACCCACGCACACGGACTGCATCATTGTCGTATTGTCCATTGCGCTCTATTGCATTGCACCCTTTGCAACAGGGGGATGGTGACACAAATTTGTCCCCATGTTTAGTGTAGTAAGCACAGTACCATTTAGGCATGAGCAGCTTGCACTGTTCGCATTCTGCAAAGGTTTGGTCCAGTACCAAGCGCTCATATTCGTCAAGTGTGATGAGTGAGAACTGTTGCACTTCGCAGCCCAGGATCTCCTTGCGGTCCCGACTACCGGTCAGAAGGTGAACGTGGACACGTACACCTTCTGTAGGCTTGGTGATGGGAGGAGGTTGGTGTCGGTTGGTGCGCATGGGACTGGCACGGGCAGACAACGAGACAGCGGTTGTCCGGAATGGCGGCATAGTAGACGCAGTGTTTTTGCCACGTATGAGGAAGAGGATGGGGATAAAAGCACAATACAGTTTTGGCCCCTATAATAAGAGTGAGGACTGAAGTACTATCGGCGATAATCAAAACATGTGACAACGCACCCGCAGATCTATTTCCGAGCGCCTAGTTGGATTACCCAGCAGAGGTGTGATTGATCATGACCACACGTTTAGTACCAGACGACCAGCTGTGCGTATCGGGGGATGCCATGTGCTCAGGTACAAAATGAAATTGACCGAGGCCGAAGTGGATGTGAAGGTGTCGATGCTACGCTATGATAGTAGTTCCTCATCCCAGACAATGCCGCCACGCTCGAAGGCCTCCAACTCATCATAAGGCAGAGACTCGCCGTTGGACTCAGTCTCACTACCAGAGTCCTCGTCCCCATTGGTATCCTTCCACTCGTCGTTCCCCCAGCTTGGGGCACCATCTCTCGTACGGGCAGATATATCTTCGATGCAAATCTGTAGTACATCCCTGTCTGAAGGACCCCAAGGGGGGAGGCCCTCAGTTGGGTACGGGATTTGTTGCAGCGGCTTCTCCCATGCTACGGTCAGTTTTGTCAATTCTGACTGGCGAAGCTTGAGCTGGAAGACGACTGCCTCTTCATCTACACTGGACATCAGCTATGATTGTTCATCCGTTGGCCGAACACATGTACTAGCCTTGCCTGCCAGTTGCAGGGCCTGCCCAACAACGTCCCACTCCTCTGCCATCCACCAGCGCAGCACCCAACACTCATGATATAGACGTGGCTCTTCCTTGTCACATCAGTCCCGTTTGAGTAGAGCCTGAATGCCCTTGCGGACAGAATCACTGCTCATCCACAACGGCGGGTCAACCTCCTTGTTGATGTCCGTCAAACCAATGTCCAGCCAGACATCAGCATCGACATCCAGCCCCCAGATGTCCTATCTTTGATACTTCGGTTGCGGTGTTTGACTGCGTCTTCGATGTGAGTTGCCAGTTTTGCATCTTGAGAAGTTTCAGGTTAGTCAGCACTTGCTATCGGCAGAAAGAAAAGAAACACCATGCCTGCTTTGTTCCGGTGGAAGTGACGCTCGACTCAATCGAGCTCAAACTTTCTCTGCCTCAAATGGCTGCGTAACTTTGTCTTGGGGGCGGCAGCATTCATCCGCACCTGGATGTACTTGCTCTGCACCATCTTAGACAGATCGGCCTTGTCTTCCACTCCCATTGTCGCCTTCTGCTTGCGCACTGATTCCGCCAACCTGCTCAGCTTCTCATGTGCTTAAGCATACTCTTGCTCTGGAAAGTGGACGTAAATAGGATCCACGTCTTCTTTGAAGATGGTGTCATTCCACTGAGACATATGCGCCTTCAGTTTGTCCATGAGAAGCGTCTTCCGCAGCACGTCTTGGACGGCAAGTTTGCCTGCATTCTTTGATTGACCTGTAATGTCAGAAACGAATTAGCTAGCGCTGAATGGAGGGAACTTGTGGCTGATGCGGTTGTGGCTTGGACATTGCCGCAACCTGCTTGGCGTGCTCTGCCCAAAGGACCAGTTCTTCATGTGGACATTGACTCAGGGCAGTATCAGCGTGTCGTCGATGTGAGCGACAATCTTTGTAGTGCCATACTAATCAGGTTCCTAATCGTGAGAGGTTTCCTTTGTGAAGATGGATCACTTGTGCATCGAGCGTATAGCGGCGCTTGTCATACTAGAGGTAGGGGTGTTAGCATGGGTCTGATAATGACATTATCTAGAGCGCATACCCCGCAAACACGAAGAAACGATACCAAATGGCTAAGAGAGTGCCAGAAGCGTTCCAGCGACTCTCCATCAGAAAACCCGAAATGAGTGTGCCGTCTCGGATGATAAACTGCTTGGCAAGCAGCGCCATGCCCGTACGAGTGCAGGACAGAACTGCCCACTCTAATCTCTCCATGTACGCAGGGGGAAGGAAGTCGAACTTTACTGCTGACCATTGCAACTGGCAGGCGATGTCGTACAGGAAACCAACGACAAAGTCGGTCAGCAAGTGCTGGAGCAAAGCTTCAATGAGGGCGAACATGTAGAACTGGCGTTCACCAGGTGTCTTGATGTTCACCAG